TCCTGCTGAACTTTTTCTTCCTCTAGTCCTTTTGGAAGGAGCAGAAGCAATAACGCTACCTTCAGCAGGAGAACTTTCCTCGCTAGCCTCTTGCGAGACTTCAGAAGCAGCTTCCTCTGCTCTCCTTAATCCTCCTCTTGGAGTAACAGCTATGGGCAGCCTGCTGACGGACAACGCTTGTCCATCAGAATGGCTGCTTTCTACTTTTTCTGAATTAGTCAGTTTAGGCTTCCTACCTCTCCTAGGAGGAACAGGCATCACAGGTATTTGCTCATCTCGAGTATTTCCTCCCGTTTCAAGTCTACAAGTCTCAGGTGCTCCTTCTGTTCGCTTGGTACTTCTCCCAGGAGACATTCAAACAGAACCGGTCTGTCTGTCTGCAGCAGTTGATGAGTGCCTTCCGAGGGAATGCCTGGACTTCCACTCAGTTGTCCCCTTGTGTGTGTTCTAGCAGTGATGCCATACTCTACTTGATGCCTCCTGGTTTCATCTTCCACTCCCGTCACAGGTGATTAAGGGAGCCTTTGCCTTCTGGAATCTAGTGACCTTTGTCCTGGTTCGGGCTGGAATTGAGTTCATGTTCCTTTTCGGGAGCGAGAAGAATGCTGCCAGCACACTGAGCTTTCAAGGACTCTCCAAATCCCTATGTCCTGCCTTTGCGCAGGCACAAAAGAAGCAGGGATGGGACACGGCTGAAGCACCGGGCCCGGACTGGCCAACGGGCTATTCCACGTCATGTAACATCACGCTCGCTATGTAAAGGAGGGGTGGGCGGGAAGGGGCTCTCTCTCGCTTCCGGGATTGCAATCGCGGGGTCTTAGTATTTCGGGATCGCTAGCCGGGAACGGGCTGGGTGTCGGTCAGCGGGTGGTGAGCAACTGCACGGTGCATTGCCCGTTTCTAATTTCTATTACTGTCACCGTTTTATTTTATTACCATTAGTAAACTGTTTCTATCTCAACCTGCAAGTCTCCCTTTGCCCCTCCAATTCCCTCCCCCATTCCCAGGTGGGGGAGGGAGGCCGAGCGGCTGCGTGGTTGTTAACCGCTTCTTAAACCCTGAAAAGATGTATTTAGCACGTCAGTATGATATGAACACATAGCTGCTCGTCTAGTGGAATGGAAGACAAGTTCAGCTTTACCGATTCGTTCCTATGTTACTGAAAAAAGAACATGTCCCAGCACTCACTGAGTCTCAAGGTTAACTTGTTCTAAGAGCCTTGAAGTGACAGGGCAAACTTTCGGGTTTGATTTCAGAAGTGATCAGTAAAACAGAAAAAGATACGTGAGGAGAAGGCTGTTAAGCAGTTTCACAAAACAGTTTCCCAGGTTTTTGAAGCTCTGAAAATGACTCTGAGATATAAAGAGCTCTCGGTGTCCCTCAGCTGCATCACATTCACCATCGTCACTAGCTGGCAATTCACGTTCAATCTGTTGCTCTGAAGCAGCACAGCTGTGTTGAAGATTGCCTGGTGGATGGAGCTCACTACACGGCGATGTTTCAGGAGCTGCTTCTGAGGTTTCTGCCGTACCCACACTATCTTCAATAACCTGAAGGTAAAAAACGTCTGTTAATGCATTCTTAATTACCAGACAGACTAACTTCAAGCTGAGCTTGGTGAAACTGAGGACAGTGAAATGCTGCTTTTCCTTTCAGACCACCACCACGTGTAAAGTGGGAAACATACAATCTACTCCCTGCCACAGATAACAGTTCATGCGTTTAAGGGACAGAGAACAGACTATTCCATTTATGCAATGACACGCTCCATTTCTGCTCTTTCTGTTCCTGGATAACGATTTGCCACCACCCGTGAACAACGTGAGCAGTTTTACAACACAAGCTGCACACACGACCGGCAGCAATCGTCACGCTGCAGAACTTTCTGGACTGACCACAAATCCACAGGTCGTACAGACAGAGAACGCTTCCCTCTGCTTCTTCCAAGCCAACCAGCAGCCCAGTTCTCTTCTGCCAGGAAAACTCCTTTACCACACGCACAGTGGGAGGCTGTTTATTTGCTCCCTGGAAACGGTACGCAGAGAGCCGCGCTCCTGTCACAGAGCTCACCACCTGGAGTTGAGGACCACACGCCTGCCACGCCAGGCCATGGCTCCCTGGAAGAGAAACGCAAGAGGACTTAAGCAAAGGTCCAGCAGAAGACTGAAAACTGCCGAGAAGTCACAGTCACCGCCCTTTCCTTCAGTAAAAGTACCGAGCAGAGGAAGACCAACCCGCCCGATTCCGGTCAAGTAGTTAAAGCCACCCGTTGAAATCCTCAAGGAATGTATTTGAAAATTAACACCTTTGTTATTTTGCATTTGTACTTGTCAGTCCCTTCTCTCGGCCCTTCCTCACTTGGCAGGCTTCCCAGTCCTTTGATCATCTTTGTGGCCCTTTTCTGGACCCTCTCCAGCCTGCCCACATCTTTTTAGTACAGCGGGGACTAAACTGCTGGCAGACTCGAGGGTGGGCTAGCCAGTGAGCAGGAGGAAAACCCGTCTCTGGGAAGACCGGGTGTCTCAGCCAGCGGTGAGGGAGGGAGCCCAGGGTGGGGGCACAGAAGATAGCTGGGCTTGAGGCCATGCTGACCTCCTGGGGCTCTGTAAACGAAGGGCGTGCGTGGGAACCCCCGGAGTGACAGCACGCCCGCGGTGTCACTCGCGAGCTTGAATCGCAACAAGCCGGAGAGGAGGCCTCAATCTGCTGACTTCAAAACAAAATCTGGTCAGTCAGTAGCAGCAAGGCTATGGTTCAAAATCAAACGTAAAAATAAAGAGCCACGACATGCTTTTTTTCCTCTGTCCAAGAACTGTGCGTAATAGGAGTAACTCGACTGCCGGGCTGGGCGAGCCGAGGACTCAGGCCAAGGAGGAAGAACGTAGCCGACTCAGTATGAGTGATAAAGCATGCTTCAGTTTATTGATTTTCATTACAGCCTTTTATAATCCTTCTACTAATTATGCCTACTAGTCACTAGCTGATTGGCTTAAGCTCTAAGGGTCGTATTCTCACGGTCCACCTACTTGCAGCTAGCTTACAGCACAAGTTTCTCATAACACTAAGTTTCTCATGCTACTATTTCTGATTCCTGTTTACTTGTTTTCGATACACAACAGTACCGTAACACAATGTTTCTCAGACCACCGTTATCATAACACTAGGTTTCTTAGACCACTATTCCTAATTCCTCTCAACCTGTTTTCGACACACCACGGTACACAAGGCTGAAGTGTCCTTGACATTCCTCAGGTATCAGCAGCTGCGAGCAGCTGCAAGCAAACCCTAGTGAGGCTCAGCATCAGCAGCTAGAGCAGGCTCTGATCATACAATTGCTCGGTGGGCTCAGGACCCTTGTCTCTGAGCCATTCTCCAACACTCGACTACAGATAGGGATTTCATTTCCACATTGGTACGGCAAGCGAGATGGGAAGGAATGAGTTTCCACAGAAACACGTTCACAAACGGCATCCCTGCGTCGTTCCTGCTGGCACACAGCGGGGGAAGCTGGTTTGGGAGGACAAAGCACTTTCTGAAGGGGAAGGAACACAGGAGTAAATCGCAAGCAGCCCTCAGTAACCAGGGCAGTACTCTCACAGACAGACGGCCCTGCTGCACGGGCGTGAAGCTTTCTGCTTCCAGCAGTGCTCGAATCCGCTGGACAACCAGCGCAGGATGCTGATGGAGTGGGAGCATCCAGCAGCTACAAAAGCTGTACTGCATGGCTGAAAACTTGGCCTCTGCTGTAGCGGAGAGGCGCGGCACTGTAAAGCTTCTGTACCCTATGAAGCTGTATAGAAGGCGGCATTAATTTTCCTTACCGAGGTGCTGGAAAGACTTTCTCATGCATATCCATCTGTAAATCCAGCTGTACTACCTCAACTTTGTTTCCCACAGTATTTTAGAGGATCCACTCTGTCTTGTACCGGAAGCTGCTCCAGAGTCACGGTTCCCATTTTTCCGATTTGAGAGTAACCCAGCCTTTTAAAGTACCGCCTGAAAGGTCTTGGAAAGAAGTGACACTTTGCGCTAATCCCACCTGGCACTGCTTGTACTTTTCCCAATGCTGGGTGGCTTTGAAGAGCTCTTTGCACACAACGGGCACCGGGCCTCTGTTTGCAGCGCAGCCGATCGTCCAACAGCTCTTCCCGAGCCGGCCTGCCCGTACGCCAGCAGAGCAGCGTTATAACCTTGCCAGGCGTTCTCCAGCGCTCCTTGGGCCAGATCACACAACACCTCGCTCTAAACAACGATCGAGTGCATCCTCTTCACAGATGAGCAAGCAAACGCATACACAAGCACTGCTGCCCGGGACGCGTGCCCCCACTAACAGGTTGAATCAAGATTTGCAAACGTGCTTGAAAGTAATACCGAGTTCCGGGATGACGGGAGCGTAGGCAAAAGCTAGGTAAGGCTTCCAACCAGTAAACCGACCCGTGCCAGTCACCTGCAGTACGCTTACATGAACGTTAATAATGGGAGATAAACTAAATGAGCAGTCTACGACCGTGTATTAGCTACAACTGCTTGTAGTTGGTTCTTTGAGTAAAATCTTACCTGGCCTGCATAGCTGTTGGATCCGGCTGAGACGAGCATACCGTTCTCGCCCTTTCGGAAGCCACTACGAGACCACTAGGCTAGATGAAACGTAAAGGCCTTCCAGCGCCCTGGATTCTGAGGGCCACATATGCTTGTGCTGTTGGTGCTCACAGAAATCACACACTACTTCCCTGCACCCTTCTCTGTGTACTGAAAATACTGTTGTAGCACCAAAAGGCAAGCGATCGGTCACCCAGCGATAGCTCCTGCTTTTGTCTGCATTTAAGCCAAGTTGAACAGCAAGGCACACCACAGCAAGGACTGCTGTGGGATAAGCCTGCTCTTAAACTATGCCAGGGGATACACAGCCAAGGAGGAAGCGACCTGAACCAACGGACACGTCGGTAACTGTAACTTGCATTTTTCCCTCTCCCTCGCATACTGGTCATCCACACGGCAGAGGGCTTTGAAAAACACATTTTATTTTAGGAACGGCTTGAATTCAACAGGAACCACAGAACATTTATCTCCAAGCACATCCAAGAGACTCGTTACCTGGACTACTTTGCCGAGAAAAAAAAAAGCATTCCTGGATTGGAAACCTGCAAGTTTTGCACAGAAGACAAAAGTACCAACAAAATAAGAAAAAACTGCTACCTTCTTACTTGAGAGTCTACAATTTCATAGTATTTTCAGATTGGCCTAGACTAAGAGGTGAAAAGCACTGCCTATCAACTCATGAGAAAACACGGGCTGGCTGCTGCCTGTAGCTTGTTTTTTCGCCACCAGAAATCAACAGCTAAGCTATTTGCGATTCGGCACATGGGAACAGATGAAAAACCGCCAGGTGATTTTGCATCGTGATACTCCAAAGTAGTTTGGTCTGAACGGGCAGAGAAGTTGCTGTTTTCTTTGCTGACATCCATTTTCTCCAAACCATCTCCAGGTATGCTTTTTGAAAACGCTTCCACTTCAGCACGATCCTCCTCAGGATTGCTCAGAGTAAGCACAGTTGCCTTATCTCTAGTCTCAGACGATGCATCCTCCGCCATTCCATGATGATGCTCCCATGAATCCCCAGGCAGTGCTATATCATCGTTGGTTACCTTTATTAAAATACAAAAAAAAAAAGCCAACAAAACCTCACAGTCAATAACATGCAGGTGGTTTTTGTAAAGGGAAGACAAAAAACCCCCCCAACATATACTGATATTTGTGTCCCTAGTGTCCCAAAAACCACACTGCAACTCTGCCTCAGGGAGAGGACGAGGTACGGCTGGTGGCTCTGCAACTCTAGCACTAGAACAAACAGGGAAAGGTAACTGACTTTCACTCCCCTGAAGTCCAAACATACCAGAATTCAGGTTTATTTGACCATCGCCCCTGAAGGAAAATCATCTGACAACCACCAGCCTCTTTTCCGCTCGTTACAATTCCGCCCGATGTTAAGAAGGAAAGGCAGAAACGAAGCAGACACTGGGAAGGAAGCGGTCAAAGATCCCTGTTTGGCCACATAACCAAGTGTCTCAAAAGCAGTACACCGAGAGCTTGGTGGCAACCACAGTTCTAGTTTCAGCTGTCTTAAATTCTTGAAAACACATTTACCATCGTGTCAGTATAGGTCTTGGCCTAAATAAGATTATCATAGCTGAAAAAACTCTCTCTCCAAATATTACTTTGGATGAACTGATTACAAAAAAGCCAATCAAAGTTTATTCAGGTACACCTTCCTTCCAGAATACTAACATAATCCAAATGGATTTTTCGCTATTCCTCTCCACACACGTAGCTCAAAACTGAACTTTGTGAAAAGGCTGCTTACCTATCATATCGTGAGGAAAAGGTTTTCTGCTCATTTCCTGCCCATGCTGCTCCAATTCTGGATAACACATTACTCATGAAAGTTGCTATGATATCCAGATATCCTGAATTGGCTGGTTTTCTTGCTCTTGATACTGGCTTTGGTCTCGCAACTGTAAAGCACAAGGGAAAACCTATCAGCCTTGTGTTATCAAAGTGAGCGTTTCTTGACCGCTGTATTCCCCGCGCTAAAAATTACCTCCTCTTAAGGCCGACGAAGGCAAATGGTAAGGCCTGGCTCTCTCTGCAGCCAGCTGCCTTTGAACTCTAGGAAGGATCTTCCGATATGGGTGTAATTCAGACTTTCTGGCACATGCCCCCTCTCTGAAGCGAGGATGGCGATCATTCTGATGAATAAAAAGCGTAAAGCAGTTAACTAATTACAGCGAGTGCACTGCACAGAACAGCAGCAAGTTCTACCCATCAGCACACGCCAACTTCACCCGGTAATTTTAGCAAAGTGGAAGGCAGACTAGATCAGTAACAGAACCGACAACTGTCAGTTAAAACAGTTCTGGCACTCAGCAGAACCTTATTCCGATACGCCTCTTGTTACCTTTGAGGAACCCCTTACAACAGGCAGTAAGAGGTGTAACAAAACCAGATCCTGACAACTTGTTTGTACCCTGCGGAGAGCTCCGACATGTAGACACGAGCACACGGCCCTGTTCTGCCCCTGGTCTTGGCACGGTCCTTCCGCAACTGCCTAACGAGCTGGGTCAGGGAATCCAACCGACGGGACCAAAGGCCGAGTAGAAGGGGGCAACTAGCAGGTGGACCAACTTCGTTTGACAGCAGTATGAATGCTACGCCCGGTGCGAGGCAAGAAGCAAACCCCAGAACTTTGGGGCTAGAGAACAGGCGACAGACCAGCTCTCTTCATCCCGAGTCTGTTTTTACCGTAAGTTAAGCAAACTCAGCCTCGCAGAAAGAGAGATCAAAAGTAAATGCAGCTCATGACTTCTGCTGCTTTCAGATGCACAAACCTTAACAAGCCCAAACAATGGCTCGAGCTGTATTCCTCACCTTCCTGCCATACCACCGCTTGAAAAGGCATCGCGGGAAGCTGAGCTAGCAATTTGGAACAACCACAGCTCCTAACAACGCTTGAGCGAAACCGCCAAGGACACCGACATGCATTTTGAATATCTGCCTGCCGACGGGTGATGTTACAGAAGGTCTAGCGGAACCTTTTTGGACCAAATTCAAGCCTGCCATTCTTGATCGCAGGTCCAGGTCTCAATATAAGGAGTTCTGGCAAACTGTCCAAAATTCTAAACCAAATAACAGACTAGAAAGCCTTTGACTGTAAAATCCACTAACTACAGCCCAGCTTACCCCAACAGTCCATTTCTCATCTGAGTTCCCTTCCTTGAAAGACACTCTGTGTTTGTTTGCTCTGGGAGGAGGAGTAACTGATTCTCCTGGAAACGCAGAGGGAGTTGCCTGGGGTGTGCTGCGAACGCTGGATCTGAGAATAGACTGAGGAGTAAAGCCGGGAAAACCAGAAGCAGATGTGGCCAAAACTTCAGCTTTCTATGAAAAGAAAGAAAAATATTTAATTGAAAACCAATTCGTACCTTCAAAACGGAAGACTCCACTTCTCCAAAGCATTAGTTTCAATTACAGACTGAGGTTGCAGAGGCAGGGAGGACAAAGTTAACCTCTGCACTGCTCTTTCTCCAAAGGTATGAAAATCTTAACGATAAAACCCCCCAGGATCTTGTGGATTTTTGGTTTTCTTTTGGTATGTTGGTTGGTTGGTTGGTTGGTTGGTTGGTTTTTCCCACCAACACCAACTAAAATGTGATTTTTCAAATTAATTTCCTGAGGAAACAAGGATATGGCGTCTTGATTTCTGCATTGTTCTCTCCCTTCCCAGTAATTTTTGCAATTCCTACTCTGCTCTCTAAAAGGCGTACCACTTCAAATGTTACCCCAGCTACTGCCACTGAACACACTGCCATGCAAAATGGCAATCAGCAAAGCAACAGCGAGAGCTTATTGCTTCACTGATGAATCCATCCGCGCGCTACACCAAATTAAGGGGCTGCTGTACAAATACCTACACATCTTCACCTAGAAGCATCCAGGTCTTCTTACCTCGGCTCGGAAGAAGAATTTACAGTATGGAAAGGGTTTGAAAGGGGGAGAAGGAAACTAGCTCAATGAGAGGGACGATATTCAATGAGAAGAAAAAGGCTGTCATTCAGAGAGATCACAACTACTTTGTTCAGGCAGGCAAAGGCAAAGAGACCCGCACCAAGAAGACAGGTCAAATGTTGTTACTTCCTTACAGGAGAAGAGTTTGAAGGCACTGAATGGACACACAGTTTAACGCAAACAATTAACCAGTACAATTGCTGCCAAAAGCCATCACTGAGTTGGACAGAGACTGACATCCCTTAACGGACATCACTTAGCTGTCACTCACTTCACCGGATTAAGAAACTGAAGCATGCACGTTCTTGCTGGTGGCTATGCAAGTCAAACTGTGCAGAGCTGCTGAGCGCTTGCATAACGAGATGGTTAAGCCACAAACTGCATCTTTAAGGGTCTAAGCATATTGAAAAGCCCAATTTTAACTTCCTTTGTTCTGCACAGTTCATGAAGTTATGGGACAACGTGCCTACTGCAATTAGCTTAGAACTAAACTTGCCCTCTTCAAGGCTTTTCCCAACTTCCTGCTTCCAAAAGGACTGTATGTACAACCACCCCACATGCTCTGAAAATTTGACACAATTTGAATCCAGCAGTGTTTGTGTCAAACATTTTGGTGGTTTCATTTTAAACAAAGTTTACAGGCCATTTGTTTGGTCGGTTCTTACTGTTTTTCCAAATACAAACCTTAACCACAAGAGGAGTCTGTAGCAAATTGAACTCTGGTGCTCTTGAAGAATTCTTTTGTAACAATGGTGACTGCCAGCTACCACCCTGTGCTGCAGAACATGAAGGGACAGGACGATCCACCAAACCCAGCAACCTGTTAAGATACCCAATTTAAAATATGAACATAAATAAACTAAGGAAGAAAATCACGCGGCGTTCAAGAAATCTTGAGATGAGATGTAAGAAAGACATTCAAGGAACGAGAAATAGAGGTGAGCCCTCACTGTTGGGGGGATGTATCAGGTCCACGCACAAGTTACCGCCTTTCCTTTTTTCTTAGTTACTTCTGTACATTTCAAGCTTGATTTCCTAAATCACTGCCTCTTAGGGAAGAGAAATCCCATTTTAAGTTGACCAAGGGATGTAATTCTCACGTCAAAGAGAAATTCACCTGCATTTCAATGCTGGGACCACTTCAAATTCTCCACCGAGTTGTGTCCTTAAATTGCCCTTTTCTTTACCAGATACAAAACTAAATGCAAACAGAGCACTTTGCAAACACAGAAAGTATATACACACACGCACACACACACATACATATACACAGACATAAGAAAAGCAACACCATTTTGAAATATTCACTCTCTAGATCTACTATACCTGGAAGATTTTTGTGAAAATCTTGTGACCAGTGTCCCAACAACCGCACTGCGCAACTCTGCCTCAGGGAGAGGACGAGGTACGGCTGGTGGCTCTGCAACTCTAGCACTAGAACAAACAGGGAAAGGTAACTGACTTTCACTCCCCTGAAGTCCAAACATACCGGAATTCAGGTTTATTTGACCATCGCCCCTGAAGGAAAATCATCTGACAACCACCAGCCTCTTTTCCGCTCGTTACAATTCCGCCCGATGTTAAGAAGGAAAGGCAGAAACGAAGCAGACACTGGGCAGGAAGCGGTCAAAGATCCCTGTTTGGCCACATAACCAAGTGTCTCAAAAGCAGTACACCGAGAGCTTGGTGGCAACCACAGTTCTAGTTTCAGCTGTCTTAAATTCTTGAAAACACATTTACCATCGTGTCAGTATAGGTCTTGGCCTAAATAAGATTATCATAGCCGAAAAACTCTCTCTCCAAATATTACTTTGGATGAACTGATTACAAAAAAGCCAATCAAAGTTTATTCAGGTACACCTTCCTTCCAGAATACTAACATAATCCAAATGGATTTTTCGCTATTCCTCTCCACACACGTAGCTCAAAACTGAACTTTGTGAAAAGGCTGCTTACCTATCATATCGTGAGGAAAAGGTTTTCTGCTCATTTCCTGCCCATGCTGCTCCAATTCTGGATAACACATTACTCATGAAAGTTGCTATGATATCCAGATATCCTGAATTGGCTGGTTTTCTTGCTCTTGATACTGGCTTTGGTCTCGCAACTGTAAAGCACAAGGGAAAACCTATCAGCCTTGTGTTATCAAAGTGAGCGTTTCTTGACCGCTGTATTCCCCGCGCTAAAAATTACCTCCTCTTAAGGCCGACGAAGGCAAATGGTAAGGCCTGGCTCTCTCTGCAGCCAGCTGCCTTTGAACTCTAGGAAGGATCTTCCGATATGGGCGTAATTCAGACTTTCTGGCACATGCCCCCTCTCTGAAGCGAGGATGGCGATCATTCTGATGAATAAAAAGCGTAAAGCAGTTAACTAATTACAGCGAGTGCACTGCACAGAACAGCAGCAAGTCATTCATGAAGTTACGGGACGACGTGCCGGCTGTACTGGAGCTGGCAGCAGTAATTGTTTACCACAGCCCACTTCCTTGGGAGCAGGTGATCATGTCTGGTGCAGCCAGCTGATGTTTGCAACAGCTCGCATCCCAGTGAGACCCCCCCGTCGTCAGCTGCTGCACTGAGCCCAACGCTCGGAGACACCGACGGGGGCCACGGGGGGTCTGAGGCAAAGATGCTTTGTGTTGCGCATGACCAGCACGGCCTGCACGCTTCCTTGCGCGTATCTGTGGCACAGAATTTATAGACGGGTCTCTAGAGACAGGCCTATCAGGGCTGTTCCCCGTCAAACTCCCTAGTTTGGATCTAAGAGTACTATCACTTCTGCTGACTAAAGCCAACACCTGCAGCTCAGTGCAACTCGCAAATAATGGGAACATCAGGTTACCACGTCTTGTAGCCTCTACAGCCCTGTCAGGCAAGATGGATGTATTTCCCCCTTGATTCCCTCATAGGCAGACACCTGACCCAAACTGGGTGGCTGGACATCAGCTGGCCTGGGAGACAGACAGCCAGCTGCAAGACACCTCTTGCAGCTATCATGAATGGCTTCACGTATTAAAGGACCAGATTTCTTCAAAAAATTCAAGGTCTGAAACGTCAATCAAAAACTACAGATTAAGACAGCAGTATTATTCAGTCACTAAGGGTCTGGCTAACCACTAAGAGAAATAGGATAATTGTTCACTTAGACTCTCGGGAAGCTCACATCAGCAATATGCTTTGCGTTAGCAATCCGAGTAAGCATTACTACGTAGAGTCGTAAGGACGGCAGCCAAACTAGCAGTTACAGTTTCTAAAAAAAATCCTGTAAAACAAAATATTGGCCCTTGCAATGCTTAAGTATTTTCTCCCTTCTCTGTCAAAACACGGGCCTTTCTTTTTCCCTGAACACTGACACAAATTACTTTCTGTACAAGCTAAAACTAACACACAACTTCAAATCACGCTTTGCATGAGCCTTTATAAGCCTCTCTGTGCAGAGGCTGATTTATGTTGGCAATACGTAGTGAGCTGAAACTTAATTCAAAATTATTTGCCACAAGCTGTGCCCTGGCTTGGAAGTTAGAATTTGGCCAGGGTCGGGAAAAAAAAAAAAAAATTTCTTCTCAAATACTTCTCAAACACAGTTTTTCACTTTCTCCATTCTGTCCTCCTTTTTCAAGCAGACCAGGGATCAAAACCCTAACTCAAGACTACACAGGCAGTGCGACTGAAGGGTAATAGAGAAGAAACAGCTTTCTTCTTAGGAACGCTTTTGTTCTTGCTCCTAGAGCAACGTTGTATTCCCTTCTAGACGTTCAGTCTCGGATCGCGCTTCATCAGGAGGCAGTGCTCACTTTACAGTTCCAAGAGCAGACTGAAAACATTCTCATTTGCATAAAACTGGCAGGGTACAACTGCAATTATGCGTGTGGATGGGCAGGACGAGCATAAACCCATCTCTGACAGTGAAAGCAGTGCAGGAGAAAACTTGGAAAAGGTCCATCTCTTCACATTCTCAATAAAGATTCGGTAAATGATCACCTCCTTCTGGAAGCTGGTGCAAGTCATATGGACAACTCCGGAGTTCAGCAAGCACGTACCATCTGCAGAAACAACCAACATTTGACAAGCTTCCATACGCTCACAGTTACGTTATGACCAGTTTACAGTTTTTAAACAGCAGTATCTGGAAAGACAGATCTCAGTGCCCATCTTCCTCACCAGATCACTTACAGACTTTTTAAAAAAATAATTACTGCGTCTAGAACTTTCATCTCTAGCGCAATCGAGGTGCTGTGCTTTGAGCTTCAGTTCAAAGTCATTTCATTTTATAACCATCACCTCTTCGCAGGCTCTATCATAAAAGCACCAAACCCCAAAACTCAGCACACTCTCGGATGTGTTTCACAATTTTAAATCCCACCTTAGTGCAACGTAATTTGAGTTGGGTTTGTGGGAGCTGGGGGTTTGGGGGTTTGGGTTTGGTTTTCGAGTGACAGAGAACAAGAGAACTATTTCATGTCATCTGACCTCAGTTTGAGCTTATCACTATAAAAAGCAGTGAAATACCTACCAAAATTATAGGAGCTTGGATTAAAAAACTGATCAGGTGGTGGATAGGAAGGAGGCACTCCGCGACAGAGACTCTGCTCACGTACTCGAATATCCAAAACGAGGCTTGGAGAAGTCATACTTAGTCCAGTATCCAGTGACCACAGCGCAAAATAGGGGCAGTCGTGAAGGAGTTCTTCCGGCCTTAAAGAAAACAAGTGCATAAGCTAAATGCCAACTTTCAGATGAATTATCTGGGGGGACACTGAAAAGAAGCTAAGAAAAATCTACCTCAGTGAATCTGGCATTTGAGCGTGATACCAGCGGTTAATGTCAAATACACCCAAGTAAGTAGATGGCTTTCCCTCACCATACGTATTCACTTGCCAGCTGAAGACTGATACACTGGTCTCAGGAGATATTACTGTAAAAGACAAGACGTTGTTTCTTATTTGTAGAAAACATGCCGTATCCGATATTTTTAAAGCACCGCTTCCTAGTTTGGTTTAATTCTGTTCTACCACTCATGCAAAAACAACACTGACTAAGAATAAGAAAAACAATTCACGGAGTAGCAAACACCTCTGTGACAGGTTCCAGGCATCCTGCCCCTTTTTCTTGTTCGGATTGTATCCGTTCCAAGCCAAATCAGATACATAATTAGTAGCTTATTAAGTTTCCACGCATTAAGAGTTGAACAAGACATTTAGCTAGATGAACAGCTGAGCAAAAAAAAAATATGCTAGGAACACAGACACTGCTTCTTTTAGAAAGCACACAAATAGTCATCGTATACACTTGTATCACTTAGCCAGCATTACTAATTTCCAGCTTTGTCTCAACCACACATTTTCAGAACAGCTCCTCTCCTGCATGTCCGCACCGAAAGAACACAATTATCACACAAAACAAATACAGAAACAAAAGTTACAGGTATTTTTTCCATGCCTCATACTTCAGAAAAAGGAGGCAGAAAGGGGTTTTTTTGTTGCCGTTTGGGTTTTTTTGGTTTTCTTGGGGGTGTTGGGGGAGTGGTGTTCTTTTTTGTTTCCAACAGGTTTTTAGAAGGCACTCCTCTCAGAAACATGGCACAAGTGGAGAAAATCCAAAGGTGCTTTGATTAGATTTTGACACACCGTTGCTCGAGGATGGCATCACAAAAGACACGGAAGTTGCCGCTTCAGGACTAAGTCAAAGACAATCAGCAGAAATAGCCTAGAAAGGTCATGCAAGTGTCTTTGTGACACCAGACAGAAGTCAAGGCCCGTAAGAAGCGGGGGAAGGTGACTAACGCAGTCAAAACAAACGGCTATGCAAGTTATCACTGCAGCAGGCTCGAAGATATGGTCAGAGCGTAACTGGATTTGTAAACCCAGAGAGGTATATTTAATTACTGCAAGATAATGAAAGACACCATAAGAGTTTTAACTGTGTACATGGTCAAGGAAAGCTACCGCTGCATCCTGGATCCTGCTCTCCCTATCACCTGGGAGCAGGAGTAACAGTCCATCACCTCCTGACAGACTAGTACCTCTGTACCTGGCAAGTGGCCGAGGGAGGGCAATAACAGCACTGCGCATCCAGCAAGTTCTGGGCCTGCGCAACTGGTGGAAAACACCCAAATAGCTCATCAGGAGCTGGGCCAGAGTGGAAAAGTCCCTAACGAAAGTCAGTTATCCTGGAGCCCATAAACAGTGACCCCAGGTGAGACCCTCTGAGCTCTTCTCCTGGATCGCAGTGGGCCTGTGACCAGCATCTCCCCTGAGTTGGGACGCCTCTCAGCTATCAACTCCTCGAGGCACCGTCTGCTGTCGAAGCCAATGATGGGCTGGGCAAAGTCGCCCCCCTCGGGTCTCAGTTATTGGCTGTTGAGGAATGATGATGCTTTGCAAGTATTTGCTCTAAGCTTGAGAAGAGGGAAATTTTAACCGTAGGCTAGCTTTTCTTCACCCGCCTCTCTACTTATCTATGTGTTTGGGTATACACAGCTGTTTTTACGAGTGTGGGTACATACATATTTCACTGGATCCAAATATTTTTGTCTGTCTGTGTTTGTACATCTTGTGTTTATGAATAAACATATGTACTTAGATAGATAGATACGTAGATAGATCGATAGACAGACAGACAGATAGACAGACAGATAGATAGACAGATAGAGAGAGAGAGATAGAGAGAGAGATAGAGAGATGGAGAGATAGATTTAGGATACCACACAGTAAGTCATTGCGATTCTTGTCATTTTTGAATCTGTACAGTTAAGTCACTATTTTAATCATAACGTATTTTACTGAATTATTTTGTAAATCATTCAAGTGGTTAATGATTAAGTGCTGCTACTCATTAATAAATCTCAATTTGCTGCCAAACTATTACCGTGTTAGTATACCCATCCATGACACCTGGGAGAAGAGACCAACCCCGACCCTGCTCCCACCTCCTTTCAAGTAGCTGTAGAGAGCGACAAGCTCTCCCCTCAGCCTCCTTTTCTCCTGGCTAAACAACCCCTGCTCCCTCAGTCGCTCCTCCTAAGACTTGTTCTCCAGAACCTTCAACTTCAAGGTGCGGCCTCACCGGGGCTGCGTACCGGGGGACGGTCACTGCCCCAGTCCTGCTGGCCACACTATTGCTGATACAAGCCAGGATGCTCTTGGCCGCCTTGGCCACCTGGGCACACCTCTGGCTCACATTCAGCCGGCTGCCGACCGACACCCCCAGGTCCTTTCCCGCTGGGCAGCTCTCCAGCCACTCTGCCCCAAGCCTGTAGCGTTGCGTGGGGTTGTTGTGACCCAAGTGCACTCGATCCCCTCATCCAGATCGCTGATACAGATCTTAAACAGAACTGGCCCCAATGCTGAGGCCTGGGGAACACCACTTGTGAGTGGCCGCCAGCTGGGTGCAGATACAGACATAGGTGTGAACAGGGAAAAAAAAAATATTCAGATCACATTCCTAAGCAACGCAGAGAATGATCTTCTTTTTCCAAGAAGACAGCTGGAGGAATAAAATGACTGACAAACGTTGCAGAGATGGCCCTACTATACAGTGCTATAGCATGTCAGCAAGCACAAAATAAACCCCAATTTCCCCCTTAAGGAAGTCCCACAAAACTCAAGCAACCCTTTTGTCTATTTAAATAAGCCCAACAAGCTCGTCTCTACAGATACTCAAGACTTTCTGACTTTCTGTGGGTACAGAACAACATTCACTGCTTAGATTCCCAAACTACTTTTTTAGAATAACCAAGCACGGACATCAGAACAAACCTTCATTAACGCTATCCTCTCCGTCAACCGGCTTGGGAAATTTTTCTACAGTCTGGCAGCTCAGAAATTTGGTATTGCCGGTCGGCCCTCTCCAGGGAAAGACTCCACACGTGAGATCTAAACTGAACCTTTCGTCACAGTATTCCAAACCCTGGGGAAAAAAGGAGAGACAAAAGGTCACTTTGGCGTAAAAACATGCCTTATTCCTAAATATGAAAGAATCTATGTACCAGAATGTAACATAATATGCACCTTATACTGTGTATTTCCCATGAGCTTCTTTCTGATGGCAAACAGAAACAACATCTGGCACGCAAGAGAATCAAGCGTCAAATCCTAAGGGGTATCTTTGGCTGTAAAGGCTTTGCACGTTTTCAAAATTTAGCATTCCCCTATCATTATTCGGTTCTAATCATGTTTTGCAGAAATCCTTGCAACACCAGGGTTTCTTTACAAACCGGAGGACAGATCTACAAAGAGGTATCTGAAATCAGGCGATACATACGCATGCAAAGCTCTTTGCTCTTGATTACAGGACTGAGGATGTTAGAGAAGTCTTGGCACTACAGCAGCTGAAGCTCTGTCAAGAGGTGTTATCTACTGGCACACCACCAGAGCGAAAACACATCCCTCTGTAGTAGCTGTGAGGACTTCTTACCGAGTAACCGTCTCCTTTCAAACCACATAAGCTTTTACCAGCTCCTCCTCTAATCTTGTCACACTAATGGGTGAAATATCCCCCGGTTCCTTCATCAAGCACGGCCACCAGCAAAAGGGGAAGCAGAGAGGATGTGGGAGGCACGCGGCCAAGGCGTTTAGGATCATGAATTACTACAGAGCCAGCAAACTACTTTGAGATATACCGAAACCCCAGCAGGATTGTGCTGAACCTCTGATACCACCTTTTCCTAGGGAAGCATTAATTGAAATACTGTCTTTCCAAATACAGAATTTGTTCAGGCTGTCTACCATGCAACACATCATTGTGTGTATTGACAAATAGCAGCTCTACAATTTAAAACAAAAACAAAAACAAAAACAAAAAAACAACTCACCAACACCCCCTCCCACCTAACACACAAAATACTACCACCAAGGAAAAACCAACACAACAATCAATTGTACCACACTCTACCGAAGTTTCCTAAACTTTCAGAGCTCTAAAATGAACTGGTACGACACAGTACACTCCCATAGGATTTGATATGATACACCTAAATCACCTAATCTGAGAAGAGACAAACCTCCTCTTAACCGTTCTAGGAAATACTACTAATAAGTATCAAGGCTGGCTTTAAAAAAAAAAAAAAAAAAGGGTCTTTCATTACTGAAAAGAAAAATGCTGAATTATGCTCTGAAGCACGCACAGTTCATTCTATTTTATCAAGTAACTTCTGCAATAACAGACACCACCAGACACGTGCAGAGTAGAGAAGCCAAAACCACCTCTTTGAAAAACTAGCATGAAGCCCAAGCAACCGATCCCGTTTTCATTACAGAAGGAACGATCACTAAAACCAGTTTATAATAAATGATGTTGTCCAGAATGAGAAGTCCATCATTCCAAAAGACCGTTGCATCAGATAAAGTCCTCAAACTCCATAAGCCTTTTGGAGATTAATTTGAACGGCTATCAATTTCCTCTCTTATTCATCTATGAACAGCCACAGAGTTGGGGCAGAGGGGAAGGGAAAGAAGATACCAGTTCCTGCCTGAGACACCTTCTGAAGCAAACCACTGTATTTTACATTTTCCACTGGGGCAAGCAAATCTAAGCTGAGCAACTCCGCTGTATGGAAGGTGTTAAGTAATTACTTTGTGGACCAGTAAACTACAAGGACAGTTTTCAAACGAGATGCGCTGGTCAGACTCGGATATGAAAGCAGAGCCTCTATACTCTGTCCAGCCGCAGGCACTGTGTAGGACAAGGGCCAAGATGTGCTGCATGGCCACGCCTGGGGGCACTAGATTTACCAACTCCCGAGATGGCATAAAAATGATCTTTGTAAGCATAACTTCAACATTCCGTTACATTAATTGCTTGAGCACAGGCTTAAACCAGCCCTGAAGGCAGTGGAGACACAACTCTGATGCTTATTTACAAAACTACAGTGCCACATGTTCCAAAACTCCTATTTGTGACTTTTTACCATGGTAAGAAGTCAGTTGCACTGTCTCATAGCCTCAAGTCTGATTCCTGGAAAGTAAAGCACTGCTGTAGTAGACACAAGTCTTTCAACTTCCTCTGAATTCTATTCAATGAACGAGGGTCAACGCTAGCTTCCTCTTTGTTTACTCAAACTTGGCCTGGCAATCGGGAACAACTCTTACACTTTCTGCCATGGAAGATGGACAAGGATCTTGACTCAGCCAGTCATATAGGCAGAGAGCCATGTGGTACTGACCAATCTCTGACTACAAGGAAGTATTCTGAGACTGAAAGTGTCCACCGTCGAGCACAGGGCCTGGCTTAATGCATCTTTGGGGTTTGGGGAGGGGGGCTTGGGAGTTGTTTTGGGGGGCAGTAGGTATCATCAGGTCTCAGTACGAAGCTACACGGCTCATCTGGAAGCGAGCTGAAGAACCCATCTTTTCTCCCCGGAGGCTCCAGCTGTTTAGTTCCTTCTTCAACTCCCTCCCGAGATTGGTTCCTGTTTCAATCTTCCACAGCACTCAGCACAGGGAAGCAGAGGGAGTAAAATATCTCAAACCCAGAGACTGGTGCCTGACACCTGCTGGAAGCCTGTGAATGTACTACTGATTGGACAGTCTGCAGAGGGTCAGGAAGTCTTACAGTAATTACACCACAGCTTTCTCAGGTCACAAACACAACAACATTATTCAATCCTTTGGTGTGCTTTTTTAAAAACGGTGCCAAGCAGAATTTCTAGTAGACCCATTCTTAAAGGCTGCTGAAGGACCTCAGCTCTCTGAGGTGAAATCTGGTGCTACTCACATCTTCAGTTAAGAAGAATTTTATTTGGAAAAGCTGCTGCCTCTTCGGGAGTTGCATGTATATGGGCTCTTTGCAGACGAATCTAGTTGGAACACACGACACTGCAGTGTGAAGTTGTATGACTTGTTCTCAAGAAGTACGGACAAAGGCCACGCCCAAGAAGACTCGGCAAAACATTTTTTTTTTAGTCAGCTCTGAGTTTTGACGGCAAGTATTAGCCCAGCCAACTCAACTGCTACTCACGAAGAGGAAATTACTGTTTTCAGCTTTTGACATACGTGCACGTCTTACCTCGTACATGACCTGTCCTGATGCCAGGCGTTTTCTCTCATGAAATAGTAACTGCAACAGATGTAAACTCACAGCGTCACCTTCACTGAAAAAGGTACAAATTATGACATGTGATTACAAAGCTGCTTTATAGTCCTTGTCATCACCTCATCAGAGCTAGACCAAAGCCTTCTTAATAGCATGCTCTTGCTGAAAAGAAAAACCCACTGCCCAAAACATGACAACCGGTCACATTTAGCGGCTAAAACACAAAGGAGGAAATGCTGGCACTAACAGCTTTGGGGACAAATGCCAACCATGCAGTCTGAAAGCTTTAATATGCTGTATGGACTAACGTTTCTTGGAAACGGTTCTTCACCGTGAAGCGTTCTCCAGCAAAACTGCTTTACAGTCACACCCAAAAAGATTGACACTCTCTGGACAGCTGGGCTGATCAAGTAGCTTGCTGATGCTGAAAGAGAGAGGTCTTTCTTTCTCCCCTCCCCTCCCCTCCCCACCAAACTTCCCGTCCCTCTCTTGCATACGCTGCACCCTTCCACCTTCTGATCTGATTCATTAGCCCGGCAGGAAACCATCGCCCTCTCTGCTCAACAGTGAGCGTTTTGTGCCAGGTGAGCTGAACCGGCTCGTGAAGGCTCCAGAGGCTGCTGAAGCTGGCACGAGGTGACAGGCAATACTGTCACCTCCCTCCTTCCGGGGCAGCAGGCTGCGGTAGCGGCACGTTTAGTGTTCCAGGTCTGCAGCCTCGGCTCCTTTCAGCGGCAGTTTCATACCACGGTGCGAATATCAAAGAAATCATGAAGCAGTCATCAAGAAACAAAGCAAGCGTTTAAGAAAGCGAGCACAACAATACAGCCGCTGTTGCTTTGCCTCCTTTCGGGAGGCAGGAACCAGTAGGTCCCTCTTCACTTCTGCTAAATCCTGACAAGGTTGCATTATAAGCTTAACGGCTTCCGTACCTGAGAGAATCGTCTGCACAGCTGAACAAACGAAACATATATGCACGTATATATCAACTGTATGCGGACAAATATTGAAAAAAAAAATAATAATCAGTGGCTTATAGTAAGTGTTTATTCACCTTTCTTGGGTAGACTGAACAGCCCACAAGTAGCAACAGTTGCGAGGATCCTTTTCAGGCTCTTGAAAAGTGACAGCATAGACAGGAATCCTTCCTCCTGCAAGCTGAGAGTGGTCCCTACAGGTTTAAAGAAATTTAAAAGAAAAAGAAAAGAAAAGAAATTAAGAGGTGATCCTACTGGCCCTAACAGTTTGTAGAGGGCTAGAAGCATCTCCTGAGAAAAGAGCACCTTCTGTGCTTATCCTCAAAGTACAGAGGTCATAATTCCCTCTCAAACAAGTGAGTCAAGGAAGCAACTACTTTTTATGCAACTGTCAAAGGGTGAGGAAATTACTGTCCATCCAATGGAACAGCCTGGGTTTATGCCCTTCTCTGCCTGAGGGGGAGGAACACAGACGATTACTGCAGCTGCCAGGCAAATGACTGTTCTGGCTGCTGTAGCCTACTTCAAGATTGAACTTAAAACGCAGCGTATCTTCTGAACAAATGTAAACCAGTGCCAAACAGAAGTAGTTCCTCGTTTCTTTACTTGGACTACGTAAAGCCCCTTTCTTCCAGACTTCTGAACCTTATCTGTACCTTCACAGTCGCTTCTTGCCGTCTAATTATCCCTCCACTGTCTATTTAGGCATCCAACAGTTTCCGGAGAGGCACTGCAGATTTGCTGAAGTGAATCCCTACCCGAATTTGGACAAATATTTCGAGCGAGATTGCTCTCTGGCAGATTTAAAATCATCTCTTAATTTTTCTATTCCTCGTGAGTTCACATGTCCCTTATTCTCATCTCCAAGTGTTCCACGCAAACTCTCATTCACGTGCATTGCTGCCTCAGAATGGCTCACTCCCCTGTTTCGGTCGAGGCTGACACGTAAGAAAGAATATGTTTTCAGGCACAGACCAGCTATTGATTCTTCATGTCTCACTAGTATCATCCGGGACACTTTAAAGAATATCACCACCAAAATCACACTAGCAACATAATTATGCCTTTCAATGCATGCCCTAATTGCAGTAACTTCTTCAGAAAAAGCATTTCTAAGATCTGTTTCATCGAAATACACACATTTCCTGGTTTCACCAAATGCCACCGAAAGAAGAAACTGTCTGATAAAAATCAGCTCTATCACGTCCTAACTGCTTGCCATAACCCAAAGAAGCACGCTTTCCACAATGCCTCAATCCACAGGCACAGTAAGGAAAACAATCCCGGTCCACTGGGGAGAAGGCGGTCCGCTCGGGCCTTGTGTGACTTCACAGCTCTGTCAGAAGAGGATTTCTGAGCATTCTTCCAAGATTACATGCAAAATTTCAGTCCCGGAAACAGTTCTCTTGTAATTAACGTCCTTCCTTAGGCAAAACATGGAGACCGGTGCACCGCCAGGCACAGCCAAGTGTAAAGGCCTACTTACTCCCTCTTCAACGTTTTCATGTTCCACAGTGACAGGTAGCCATCGGAAAAACCCACGACGAGATGATTGCTTCTGCTTATGTAGCTCAGGGTTGATACTGCTGTTCCCGAAGGATTTTGTAATTGAAAACAGAGATGTCTCCCTTCTCTGGCCACAGTTTTTCTTCTCTTTGGAACTCCCACAGGAATTCCACTGGCAACTTCCAGATCTACACACACAAAACCACACAAGGAATGAATGTGTTATGCCATTCACGTTGCATTTTCAACACTGACGTGACTACACGGGTAACCTAATTCTACCAGCCCAGGCAAAATACCCATTTATGCAACGCTTCTTTTGCTACTGCCGTCTTCTGTGTATTCAGAGAACATAAGAACTCTCCGATCGGACGGGTATTCTCCCTCGTATGGCAAAACCAGGTAAAAGCGTAACCTTCAGCGACAAATTCGGCTTGGACTTTGGAAATCAGGAGTTGGGGCTTCACGGTGAAGCTATCTGAAGTGCCATCAACTCCCAAAGCCACTGCTGTATTAGCTGGAACAGCGTATGCCATCTGAATACACCAACCGGAGATCTCATTCACCCACATGCATGAATTTTGGAAAGTCGGATTTGTTTCAAAAAGCAAGCTTAAGATCTGCCCCAAGTCAGCTAAGAGAAGCAGAACAACGTTCCCAAGAAATAGGGCACCTCCGGCACAACTTCCTGCCAGGCAGCTGCACCGACTCAGACGGTGAAATCCCTACAGCTCACCGGCAAGAATCACGGGGACATGGGGATCGTGGTGGGAGGGGGGCGTTTACAGCATTAGCGGGAGCACTGGGCCACTCCCATTTTTCATCAGTTCAGGACTAGGTGATGTCAAACTGCCACCTGTAATCAGCACTCATCAATGTCTGCACACGAGTATCTGCAAAGTGGCACGCATACTGTTTGTTAAAAAGACACCAGGTTTCTTCCTTTTAAATTCAAGTTTAAAAAGCGCACGCTTACCCGATGCTTCTCTTTCATTCTGACTGCAAGATAAATTATCCAAGCAAAGGTCAACCAGAAGTAGGTGGCCAACATCTGTAGCCACTGCTGCCACGCCAAAGAGCCATTGCAGGCTCGGATGTAGGTGCCGAGCGCTCGCACTGGTGATGCCTCCGTGATTAGTTATGAGCTCTACAGCAGTTACCTACAGGGAGAGTGCAAGTCAGTATTTAAGCTGCTTGACAAGCTAAACGGAAATCATTCGAAGGTGAAACCAGAATTAGCACATCAGAAACAAGAAGGTAAATACAGGATCATTAGGCTTACAGACAATATCCAATTTTATCAAGAAAAAATAATAAAATAAAGCCCTCTACAAACACCTGGTACTTCTTCCCATTCACTAGATCTCCCGCAGTTACTTAACGGAATTACCTTCCGCTCACATGGCGCATTCTGTTATTACAGCTCACCAACCTCCCTTTGCTACCTGGAAATAATTAAGTCTAAGAAAACACAGAAAATCAGACGTATGCAAGAAACTTGACCGTAATTAAGGGACCGAAGGAAGACAGACAAAACTAAATCGCCTTCTCCCACTGCTCACAGCCCATCGGCACTGGGACACCGGCTACGCCTCCTTTGCCAAACAGGTATTACGATAAATCATGGCTGTAAGTCACACGAGGCAGCGGTCAAGTCGCATGGTAGACGCACCATCTGCATGGGAATTACACATTTTTACACAGTGTTCAAGGGAGATACTGGCTCAGTAAAATTTACGCTCGTCCTCATGGAGGGTAAAGGTAACAACCAGATAAACTAAAAAGTTTTCCATGCACACCAGCACTTTTGTGAATGGGAACAAAAATTTGAAAGGCCAGACTAAAACAGCAGCAAAAAGAACAGCAGCTTGTGGGATAAAAAGCTAACTCCAACTACGGAAGAAGCCTATAGACCAGGAACATTTGTCAAAATACCGTTCAATAGTTCTGAAACATGCAACCATTATAAACCAATTTTAGATAATTAATGCCTTACATTCAGATTCGCTTTTCCAAGAATCCCATTCAAATAATACTCCACTGACACTCTGAGTTTTCTGCTGTGCTTCACGTGTATATCCAGAGGGCAGTGAGAGATGCTCACACACACACACACAGAATTACACCAATATTCTGTCGAAGCTTGAGAGTTTGTTTTTTTAATTCTCTGAGTGACTACACACCTACTCTTACTCAGAAGGCAGTTATACGGTCACTATAAATACCCTGTATTAAAACACTAAGGGCTTCACACCTTGGACCACAGTTACTCTAAGCTAGTGTTAAACTCTACAGCTTAGCTGTCCACAGAAGATATACCCACGTGGAAAAGAGTCCAGAAACAAAGGTGCTCATTAAAGCCTTAAAACAGTAACGACTGTTAGTACTGTGGAAAGTGATGTTAAGAACAGATCTGCATTTTACGTTTAAAGATCATCAGCGTGAAGACCAGAGAAACATTCCAGCAGACTCAAAACGCGTATGACGTAACTTATAATTTGGAAGTACGAGTTACCGAAGAAATTCAAAACCTATGGACCGTGGCCAAGTACAAGTTTTATCTACTTGGTTTTGCTTACCCTTACTCCCACACTCACAACTTCAAAGCTAACAGTCCAACTGGCAATACCTCTGCCCTGTCTATGCCCGTCTGCCTCATCTAGTCGCAAAAAGATAGGAAGCAAAATGAAAGCAACAGACCAAACATGCTTATAATCCAGAGCACTAGGGTGTAAGAGCAAACACTCAAATAAGCTGTGACTTTATTCCGAAATCCACAACCTTCATCACACAACAGCCAACTTTTCCCCCACAACGTTTCTTCACATTTTCTCCTGAGGCATTTCTTCGTGCTATAGAAAAACTCCCTAATACAACCGAGAACTACATTCGACCTCAAGTCACTTCTGTAGACACAGAGGCGGTAGGTGACATGGTCCTTCTTAACCTTTCCTTCTCCTATTCCCAGTTCACTTAGATTTAACAAATAAAACTATAAAAAGCAATGTCATTTTCCACAAATGTCATTTGCTTACTGATTATATGCTGATGTCAGCACACAGCATGCCCTTCCGTCTGAAACTCCGGGATTTCTCAAGGTGATAGGCAAACTAACACAGTGGAGCGGCAACCCAACTCCTATCTTCTGAAATTACCACAGTACAAATGCTTACTACTAGTAATCACACTGTAGCATTACAAACAAACAAGCAAAATGCCACCCGTGTTCTAGCAAGTCAAGCCAAATCACTTTACGGAAAGCTGGGTAAGAAAGAAGTATTTACTTGTTGCAGATTCTGGGAGGATAAAACCAGAATGCACCTTGATGTTCAATTAACTTACGCTGATTCTTGTTTGCATTAAGACAATGAGACTAGGGGTCATCACATCATTTGAGCCCAGGGCTTATACAAGACAGAAAAAATTGGCAACATCACAACACTGTATCCCCTCCACACAAACACAATTTCAATAATCAGAGGTTCAAGGGCCACACACGGAAAGTTGATCTTTCAACAGTCTGTCAGATAACTTACTAAAGGCTTTTTTCTAACCTAAGGCAACAGAAAGAATCTGTTCTGCTCTGAAGTCACCGGCTTGCTTGTCTGAGACTCATGGGACTGGGTCTAAGTCATTTACAGCACAACTACAGACCTCTGAGATATGTTAAAGACAGTATTTCTGACAGAATAAACCATTCAGGAAATGTATGCTACAGAGACTTTAAAGACTGGGGGGGTTTCCCTTTTCACTCTGCCCCAAAAAGCATAGTTTTCAATGCCCTTTTTTGTGGAAGCGGAGAGTTAGGTAACTATGTGCTCTGCAGTAAAACCACAAAACTTACCTTACGATCAGTCAACTCCAAAGATAATGGTACCGTTAGGCCCAGGATCAAGGCTGCCTTGACTGGATACTCTGAAGCGACAGAATGCTAACGCAATACAGAAAAAATACCTCCTGCAAAGAGACGCTCCAAAGCTTTTCCGGAAACAGGATCGTGCAGCACCTAACAACATAAAAGCTTCGTTTCTCCAATTAAAAAGCACGTACCCTTCCTGGAAGAGCCACGCCTTTAACCACTCTTGATATTCCAAGGTCGTACAGACAGAGAACGCTTCCCTCTGCTTCTTCCAAGCCAACCAGCAGCCCAGTTCTCTTCTGCCAGGAAAACTCCTTTACCACACGCACAGTGGGAGGCTGTTTATTTGCTCCCTGGAAACGGTACGCAGAGAGCCGCGCTCCTGTCACAGAGCTCACCGCCTGGAGTTGAGGACCACACGCCTGCCACGCCAGGCCATGGCTCCCTGGAAGAGAAACGCAAGAGGACTTAAGCAAAGGTCCAGCAGAAGACTGAAAACTGCCGAGAAGTCACAGTCACCGCCCTTTCCTTCAGTAAAAGTACCGAGCAGAGGAAGACCAACCCGCCCGATTCCGGTCAAGTAGTTAAAGCCACCCGTTGAAATCCTCAAGGAATGTATTGAAAATTAACACCTTTGTTATTTTGCATTTGTACTTGTCACTCCCGCACTGAAGAGTTCTGATTGTTTGGGATAAAGATTACGAGATATTGATCTCTAGTCTGTTTACCATATTCAGCTAGGTTTTGCTAGAATCCTCTAAATACATAGGGGAATACAAGTCCTAAAGCCTACTTTGAGTAGAGCAAATCTAAACCAATTCGTTTCTAGTGTATTCATTTTACTTGCCACATGCCTACTTTGGGCAGGGATTTAGACTTCAGCAAGAATTTATCTTAAAATGGGCACCACATGAGTAAACTCAAACTGTTACACGTGCTGAGCACAGGAAGAATTTAACACGTGCTGTTTCACTGAACTTCCTCAAACTCAAAGCAAGGAGTAACTCAACTCAACCACTGCACTTCCAGTCAGGCAGGTGGACTCTAGCTGGTCTAAACAGAAGCCCAGGCATCCGGGCAGGCACCCAGCTCTACTTTCAGATCACCTAGAAAGTCAATGACCTAATCTGCTCAGCCACTTTCAGCAACTCTCACTGGGTACTCATCTGCGTCCTGTCAGATTCTTGGGAAATACGGATGCAGCGCTCAACAGCCTTCTCCCCCTCCTTCTGTTTTTATTCACACTAGAAAAGTAAAACCAGGGGGGTTTGCCTCTGTAACATTTCGGCATGTGACGGTCACAGAGATTGAGCTGGTACAAATCAATACGGCCCCAAACAACACTATTACTTTTTGGAAAACTGCCTCTTACTGAATTAGAATTTGAGGAGGGCCACCGACCCAGCAACGCTTACGGAAATTGTTCTGATGGCACAAGATGGGTGCAGGCTGCTGTAGTTTCAAAGCTGAGCTACACTAACGTTTTAATATGAACACGTTTAATAGTTAAAACATCCTTTCTGTTCTCGGCAAACCCGACGCATCTTAACAGCACCAACCTGACACAGTTGCTACGGTGCCCCGGTGCTTCAGGTAACCTCCAGGCAATAACATCTTTGCACCAAGACCAAATTTAAAGGAAAATGCTCACCTCCAGAAAACTTCCCGCTCAGCACAGAATCTAGGGTTGTCTCATCTTCCCCAAGTGCCTGAACAGTCACCTCGGGAAACTGCAGCAGACTGCTCGTTACCCGAGCCATCAGGTCTCGCACTCTTCACTGTAAAGAAAAAAAAAAAAAAAAATGACCCACGTCAGCCCTAACTATTTTTGAGATTGACACAAGTTCCATCGGGATGCAGCGAATCATCTCCTGTACATCACCTGTAGTTCTTTCCCTTAAAAAAGCGGCACTCGGGACAGTTTTCAATCTCACAGCAGAGCAAAGCGAGAATCCTTTCCCTTCTCTGATGCCTGTGGGATCACAAACAAAAAGTGACACAGACGTATGGACAAGATAAATAACAGGAAAAAACCCAATACCCTGAGTTCACGTCTGCTCACATAGGCTAATAAGATGCGAGCTGAGAAAAATCGTATTTCACATTGCAAGCAATACAGACTTCCACAGTTCATCATTCAGAAAGTAGTTTCCCATACACTTACGATGGAAACAGAACACAGCACTTTAAAACACTGATATTTTCCTGTTCTGAGATCCTCGTATTCCTTATTCCAGTCCCTTCCTTCCTACTGCCTGCCCTCATCACATCCCTGCAGTCTACTACAGAAATTTCTAGGCCCTTCAGACGGTGTCCACACTTCTACAGGTGCTCCACAAGGAGTTCGTATTTCACTATGTCAAAACAGAGGTGCTGGTGGCAAAACTTGAGAGCTGAACTGATTTACAGGGTTAAATAGGTGGCTAAACAAGAGATATTCCATACACATGGGAATGCAAACTACTCAAGTTACTACGTTCTGCAAGTTCTCTGCGCTATTGAAAATGGCACCGTAAGAAAGTTCATGCTCTGAAGCCTGTGCACTGGAATCCACTACATGTCCAGTCACAAGCACTCGGGTTGAGAATATGTCCAGTATCTTCTGCCAGCGCAAAACCAAGGAGTGTGGGAAAGGCAGGAAGTGTAAGTCAGGGGCCTGCACTAAGCACAAGTCAACACGTTGAAAAAAGCGTTGCCAATGGCAAAGCCAGTATCGCAGGACGCTGCTGCAGCCAGCCAGCCTGACCACTCTGCCAGCATTCACAGCTAGCACAGATCAAGTTCCAACTGGGACAACTTCTTTGCAGCAGTTTTGCTGCATTTGCTTTTTGGTGCTTGTCAGCGTTTCAAAGTAAACAGCGGGACAGCCTTTTGCACTGCATCCGGGGGCTCCAGAGAGTCAAAAGCCCTCACCTCCCTCCACCCGCTGGCAAAGCTCCGCCTTACGCAGCCCAGGACACCAAGAGCCTTCTCTGCACGGGGGCCACTTCTGCCTCACGGTCAGCTTGGTGCCCAGCAGGCTCCCAGGGTCTCTCTGCCAAGCCTCTTTCCAGCTGGGCAGCCCCCAACACATGCTGGTGCATGGGGTTGTTCCTCCCCAGGTGCAGGACTTGGCCTTTCCCCTTGTTGAACTGCCTGAGGTTCCCGTCAGCCCATTTCTCCAGCCTGTCAAAGTCCCTCCGCGTGGCAGCGTGACCCACCGGGGTATCACCTCTCCACTCAGACCAAAACAGGAGTTTTACTCTAAAAGGCCACGAGCATATCGGAGACCGTCTGCCTCGGAATTCTACAATCAGGCTTATCTCACTCAAGCGCAGCCTACAGATTCTCCTGCAGAGTCTGTGCGGCTGCTCCATAAGCACGAATCTACAGCAGCAGGTGAGAAGAAGAAAGAGTTTCAGCTCTCTAGCCCAACAACCCCCAGCAGAGAAGATCCCGGAGCTGATGCAGCCCACAGCTTTGACTTCCCTTTAAATGAAAAAACAAGCCAAACCACCCCAGAACTTGACGCTAGAGCCAGTTTACCCAGCTACCTCCTGTGGCTATTCCCTGACAAAACTCCGCTGTCATCCAAGGGGTGCAGTCCCTGCCTAACGCGGCAGAGTTTGCAAAAGCTCCCGACGTCAGTTCTGAAATGATGCTCTTTTTCACACCGCTTGGTGTACCTGGACAGACGGACGTAGGTGCTGAGTGCCTCAGCACAGAACACACACGCAGCCTTCCTGGCAGAGGGAGACCGTAGTCAGCAGGACACCTCCAGCGCGCCACCCCCCAGTGACATCTCACCGCTTGCCCCTCGCATCACAGATTCCAGAATCACAGCATCACATGAAGACAAAGGCCTTCCAGAATCTCTGGAGGTCACCCGGCCCAGCCCCCCTGCTCAAGCAGGGTCCCCCAGGGCAGGCTGCCCAGCACCCTGGCCAGACAGCTGTTCAATCCCGAATGCTGAAACATACTTTTACAAACAGCAACCTGACAAGCTGAACTGCGGGGACATCTGCAACACGGGCAACAGGCCTGGGTTTTTGGTGACTCTCTCCTACAGATTTAAGTATGTTCTCCCCACGCGAGGGAAACAACGCCACACCAGCAAAGCCTAACTTTTTTTTACCACGCACTCTAATCAAAAGAAGCCTATGCACAATAACCTCCCTAGCAAAGTATATGCCCATGAGAAACTATCACCTAATTAATTAAACAGCTGTGTAGTTTGTGGCAAGATGCAGCTCATTTTAAGTTAAAAACTGAACGGAACTTGGAAGCGTGTCTCCTTTGTTTCCCCACTGGGGGGAAAGGATGGCTATCATATATATATATATATATAAAATACATATCTATAAAACGTATATAAGCACATATCATAAACATACATATAACAGATACCCTTCGGGCTTTGAAACTGAGAGAAAATGAGCTCCTAACAAAAATTCAGCGTAAATTTCATTTCACTCTACTCAGAGCAGTCCCCTCATCTGTTTCCACCTCAACTAGCCACCCACTCATACAGAGTTCAGAAAAAAGATGAATGGCCTCTTGCAGGATTTTTGATTTTGCACGGTTACATTCCTTACAATACCTAAAGCCGTCCTCACGGTCTGTCTTCTCTGGTTTGCAAAACAGCAATAAATACGCCCTGTTTTGGGTATAATCGTAGCGCACCCACCTTTAAATTTCTTTGTCAGCTTTGTGAGAGGAGGAGAGAAAAGGAAGGACTCCTTTTCCTCAACAGGCCGTTTCTGATGCATGGCAGTTCTGCAGGATCTGGTTCTTGAAACAGGATCTGTTGAAGTTCTTGATCCTTCATCACGTCCTGACAGGTTTATGTCTTCAAGCAGCAAAGGACTGCCATCAGGTCCTCGGCAGAAGGCCTCCTCCCCTGTGCTCTCCTTCAATAACGATCGTCTCTTTCTGCCCCGACGGGCTCTCCTTACTGGACTCTGAAACAGAAAAGGCCCAAACAATAGGCCTCAAACCAAAGTTGACTTCTGAGTGCATTCCCCCACCAGCAATCAGCATCTTAGCAGCAGAATGAAGCAACCAGCACCTTATCAGCATGAAAATGCAACCCTGGGAACAATCCCTGGGAACTGTAAGTAAACAATAGGAAGTAACTATAAATCCCAAATGTAAAGAAAAACAGAAACTCCTCAGACGTGCCCGGATCCTGGCCAGATCCGGACACGCCTGAGTGAGGCATGTCAATCTACCAGGTATCTCCTGTGCATTTCGTTTAGACTTGTTTGTTAAACTGTATAAAAGCCAGACCCTCTCACAGCACAGACGGAGACCTCACCTACGAGTGGACACACTGCGTAGGACTTCCCAATTTCTGGGAAAGGCTCTCTGATCCTTCGCTGTGACGGGGCTCCCCAGCTGATGCACGGGTCGGGGTGATGGTAAAGTATGAGGGCAATTGGTGATGGATCTTTCTTAATCACTATAGCCAGCTTTATGTAGTAACGACTAGGTGCATTACCTTGCTTATTCTTTCTGCTGCTTTAAACAGTAATGTCTAGGTGCATTACCTTGCTTATTCTTTCTGCTGCTTTAAGGTAAAATAAGCCTATTTCTTTAGCTTGGTGTCTGTGTCCTTTGTGTTAACCCCGTCAATTGGCAAACCAGACTCCCGGGTGTGGCTGATTCCT